CAGTCATCATGTCCAAGGTCTTCCTCCCTTTTCTCTCTGCCCTTCAAGGTGTGTGTGTCATTTTGGTATCTTCATTGGCAGTGGTTGCAGGAGTGGACTGAGAGGGCATGTATTCAGGCTCTTCTGTGTTCTGTGGGTGGTGGTCTTCCTCTGGGCTTAGAAAACATGGCTATCCCCAAAAAGGGAACACTACAGTGAAGGTCCTTAAAAATTTCAGAATTCATTTAAGTTTCAGAATAGGTGACACGTTCAAAACCAAGAGCAAAGTGTCCAGAGGACACTGATCCAGCTTGAAGGAGTTCTGCGGCTCGTCTGGGATGATGGCAGTGTCAAATCAGACGCGGGCGGCCAGTTCACGCCCACTGAAACACGCAGGCATGTGTGGGCCCTCGCCAATGTTGAGAAATGGAGAAGAGGCATTTCCTTGAAGTAGTGCGCGGGGGTGACTGGATGAGAAAGTCACCAGCAGACAGTCATGGCCATGATTTAGCCAAAAGCTGCCTCCATATGGAACCCCTGGTGGAGGAGGTCTGATGAGGGGTGGGTGTGGTCACAGGCTCCTTGCATGTCCTCTTGAAGGCAGAAGCCTTCTTCACTCAGGGTAAGCCCCCCCTGCGGGTGCAGTGAAGAAGCAGTCAGTGTTTCAGAAAGTGACCAGTTTTTTCTAAAGTCCCTGTTGGGAATAAAATCACCTGATTCGTGAAAGTGCCCGCTGGGCAGTGAGGCCAAAGCCTAACAGCTTCAGAGTCCTTACAGAGGTGTCTGGGCATTGGAGGCCCTTCCTTCTGGAGTCTCTGCAGGGCTCTGATGGTGGGTGCCAGCCAGTCGACTTAATTGCTGTCCCTGATATTTGTGTTCTGCTGAGGGAACCCCTACCATTGCAGTGTGGGGCACACATGGTGTGCGTGCCCCATCGAGGTGTTTCCTCATAGGAGTGTGTCCCTGAAGGTGTCCTGCTGTGTCTGGCCTGGCACTGTGTGCTCTGGTCCTTGTGAGTGTGGGGAAGCAGAGTGAGGTCTGTGTTGGGGTGTAGAGGAGCCTTGCACGCACCTGGAAGCCAGTCCTCAGGCAGCCAGCGTCCCCTCCTGCGTAGGCTGGGATGAGGCAGCCTTTCTGGCCAGTGGGGATGGCTTCCCAAGGTGAGGGCAACAGCTTCTCAATTTCTGACTCAGCCGTTTTCCCTCAGCCCCCATCCTGAGGTGGATTTGGGGGGCTTGGGAGGCAGGGCTCTTTCCCTGTTTCCCTGCAGGCTTCCAGGAGGTGGGGTGAGGCAGTGGTGTGTCCCTGGGTGGGTGGGCTCTGAGCAACTGCTGCTGGGCAGCACAGAACCAGACATGGAGCACCTTGTCTCTCCAGGTGTCCCTGGCCAGTGTCCTTCCACCTGTCCACAAATATGGGGAACATCTTCGCCAACCTCTTCAAGGGCCTTTTTGGCAAAAAAGAAATGCGCATCCTCATGGTGGGCCTGGATGCTGCGGGGAAGACCACGATCCTGTACAAGCTTAAGCTGGGTGAGATCGTGACCACCATTCCCACCATAGGTGAGGTGGGGGCCAGCAGGGAGTGGGTTGGGCTGGACTGGGCCAAGGTACAAGGTCTCACCCTGCATCCTGCACCCAGGCTTCAACGTGGAAACCGTGGAGTACAAGAACATCAGCTTCACTGTGTGGGATGTGGGTGGCCAGGACAAGATCCGGCCCCTGTGGCGCCACTACTTCCAGAACACACAAGGTGAGTGGCTGGGGCCTGGTCCCATGGGCCCTCCTGCTTCTAGAGAGGGGGGCCAGCCCACAGATGCAGCATCGATGCCCATAGATGCGGCAAGGGGCCTGTGTTCCCATGACCATTTGACACTGGCTGCCTTGCAGGCCTGATCTTCGTGGTGGACAGCAATGACAGAGAGCGCGTGAACGAGGCCCGTGAGGAGCTCATGAGAATGCTGGCCGAGGACGAGCTCCGGGATGCTGTCCTCCTGGTGTTCGCCAACAAGCAGGTAGGCGCCCGGGCCAGCCTGGGTAATGTGAGGCGCCAGCATGGGTTCCTCCAGGGCACCTGGTGGTAGGGGTTACTGGAGGCTGGTGGGGCCCCTTTCTCTGTCCTGGGGACAGCTCTTCCCACCAACCCTTCCTTCCCCCAGGACCTCCCCAACGCCATGAATGCAGCTGAGATCACAGACAAGCTGGGGCTGCACTCCCTACGCCACAGGAACTGGTACATTCAGGCCACCTGCGCCACCAGCGGTGACGGGCTCTATGAAGGACTGGACTGGCTGTCCAATCAGCTCCGGAACCAGAAGTGAATGCGACCCCCCTCCCTCTCACTCCTCTTGCCCTCTGCTTTACTCTCATGTGGCAAACGTGCGGCTCGTGGTGTGAGTGCCAGAAGCTGCCTCCGTGGTTTGGTCACCGTGTGCATCGCACCGTGCTGTAAATGTGGCAGACGCAGCCTGCGGCCAGGCTTTTTATTTAATGTAAATAGTTTTTGTTTCCAATGAGGCAGTTTCTGGTACTCCTATGCAATATTACTCAGCTTTTTTTATTGTAAAAAGAAAAATCAACTCACTGTTCAGTGCTGAGAGGTGATGTAGGCCCATGGGCACCTGGCCTCCAGGAGTCGCTGTGTTGGGAGAGCCGGGCATGCCCTTGGCTTTAGAGCTGTGTTGAAATCCATTTTGGTGGTTGGTTTTTAACCCAAACTCAGTGCATTTTTTAAAATAGTTAAGAATCCAAGTCAAGAACACTTGAACACACAGAAGGGAGACCCCGCCTAGCATAGATTTGCAGTTATGGCCTGGATGCCGGTCACCAGCCCAGCTGTTCCCCTCAGGAACATGTGGTGGCGCAGAAGACCGCGATCAATTCTGCATGGTCATAGTAGAGATCCCCGCAACTCGCTTGTACTTGGGTCACCCTGCATTCCATAGCCATGTGCTTGTCCCTGTGCTCCCACGGTTCCCAGGGGCCAGGCTGGGAGCCCACAGCCACCCCACTCTCCCGCAGGCCGCCCCACCCACCTTCAGGCAGCCTATGGGACACAGGGCCCCATCTGTCCCTCGGTCACCGTGTGGCCAGAGTGGGTCCGTCGTCCCCAACCCTCGTGCTCGCTCAGACACTTTGGCAGGATGTCTGGGGCCTCACCAGCAGGAGCGCGTGCAAGCCGGGCAGGCGGTCCACCTAGACCCACAGCCCCTTGGGAGCACCCCACCTCTGTGTGTGATGTAGCTTTCTCTCCCTCAGCCTGCAAGGGTCCGATTTGCCATCGAAAAAGACAACCTCTACTTTTTTCTTTTGTATTTTGATAAACACTGAAGAAGCTGGAGCTGTTAAATTTATCTTGGGGAAACCTCAGAACTGGTCTATTTGGTGTCGTGGAACCTCTTACTGCTTTCAATACACGATTAGTAATCAACTGTTTTGTATACTTGTTTTCAGTTTTCATTTCGACAAACAAGCACTGTAATTATAGCTATTAGAATAAAATCTCTTAACTATTTCGCCGGCTCTCCAGTGCTTCCACGTAGGCATACTGCCCCCAGGAGATGGTGGATCAGCCAGCTTTAGGAAGTGCAGGTGACTGCCTAGGGCCACCACCTGAGTCCACACCCTCTCCATGTCCCCTCCTGAGTGTGTGGGCACTTCTCTGTGTCTGTGTGAGAGGCTCTTCCAGCATGGTTAGCCACACTGACCTTGGTCTCTGTTCGCAGTCCTGTTGGGCCCAGCCAGTGAGAACTGGGCCACACAGGGCAGGGGTCAGCAGGCACCATGGAAGACCTCAGCCTCCATCCCTCCCTCGGCCTGCTGCTGAACCCGCTTTGTATAACTGGCTATGGGGCAGGTCTACCGCTAGCATACATAGTGCTTTGTGCCAACCGGGGAATGGTTCCTGAGTGGATACAGCCCCCAACTCTCCTCAAGATGCCATGCAGCGGGGAGCTGCCAGTCTGGGGGTACCTGTTTGTGGGATGTGGCCATCAGCAGGTCTAAGGTCTGCCTTCTGTTGGGCAGAGTCCCGACAACCTTCATCCCCCTTGACAGCACCCAAAACAGCAGTCTCCACTCCAGTAGCCACGTGAGGGTGAGGGCAGAGGTCAAAGCCACATTAGCCACACCTTGGCCAGGGCCCTGAGGAAGGTCTGCTTAACTTCCTTTGAAGTCAGAAATCGGCCAGGCGAGGGAGCTCATGCCTCTGATCCCAAAACTGCAATGCTGCAGTGAACTATGATGCAGCCCAGGTGCCATCTTTATGCCATGCAGTCTGGTGGCCACACACATCCTGAACAGCCCTGATCCTTCTTAGGGCCAGGCAGAGGGGACACCCACCCCATTGGCCCGGGAGAAGCAGACCTGGGGGTTGGGGCAGCAGGCAGTTGGTGGAGTCCCCCAACCCCCACACCCAATTGAGGCTGTGCCTCCACAGACTATAGGGCTCTCTGCCCCAGGTTCCCACATTGCCAGCTGAGCACCCGCTTCCATGGCCTCGGCCCTCTCTGGGTTTTGGTGGGGCTCTGGGCACACACGGGAGGACTACATTCCCCCAGGACATTGAGAATCAGATGGACGCCGTGGCTCACGCCTGTAATCCCAGCACTTCGGGAGGCCAAGGTGGGTGGATCATCTGAGGTCAGGAGTTCGAGACCCAGCCTGGCCAACACAGTGAAACCTCGTCTCTACTAAAAAATACCAAAAATTAGCTGGGAGTAGTGGCAGGCGCCTGTAATTCCAGCTACTCAGGAGGTTGACAGGAGAATCGCTTGAACCTGGGAGGCAGAGGTTGCAGTGAGCTGAGATAGTGCCATTACACTCCAGCCTGGGAAACAAAAGCGAAACTAAAAAAAAAAAAAAAATCACCAGGCCTCAGACTCCTGGAAGACAGACCCCAGCTCCAACCTCCCAGTGGGATCTCATTTAACTCTTGACACTGACCTTCCAATTAGGATGATACACCTTCCTTTTAAAATATATTTATTGAAATACAAAGAGTCAATGTAAGGAAAAATAGAGGTCACCATACTTGGCCACAGTTAGACCGCTCATAGGCCCATGGCTGCTGTCTCTACTGGCAGAGGGAGTCCAGCTTCTACTGGTACCTCTGGGCAGGTTCACCTTCACAGGGCAAGCCAGGGACCATCCCCGCTATGTGAAACCTGGAGGTTTTCCAGAGCTAGCTGTCTAGCCATTAGCCCCACAGGCTGGTGCCCAGAGCCACTTCCACAGGAGCAGCCCCGGGCTTCACCCACACACGAGGGGCTTCCGAGGCAGGAGGCAAGCAAGGCAAAGGGAGAGTTCAGGGTCCCACAATAGCAGTGAGCAGGGTCCAGCCATCAGGCCTCAGAGCCTCTGTCATGCCACCTGCGAGACGGACTTCTCCTGTCCCCACTGTGTCCCCGCTTCCTCCTCTTACAACAGGGGGAGTTGGAATAGGAGTCGTGGTGGTGCCTGGGCCTGGGGAGACCAAGGGCAGTCACTCAGAAGGAGTCAACCAGGCTCCCACCCACAAGAGGCAGACATAGACCAGGGCATACCTCTCGGGAGATGTGGGAGAGGAGGCAGCCTCAGCTGGCTGCCTGTGCTCTTTGTCTTTCTTCTTCTTCTCTTTCTTGTGTTTCTTCTTTTTCTTTTTCTTCTTCTCCTTCTTGCTTTTCCTGTGGCTCTCAGAGCTACAAGGAGGATACAAGGCGCACCTCAGACCCTAGTCTTGCAGGCCAAGAGAGTGAACACAGACCCCAACCAGGAGATGAAGCCACCACCCACAAGTGCGTCTTTAAATCAGTTAAATCAGACTACCAATTCCACTCCTCAGTAATGCAGTCACGTGGCCAGTGGCTGCCCTGGGTTAGAAACTGATGCGATATCCCTATCTCCACAGCACGGCCCTGTTACACCCCAGCTGTGCCCTTGACAGGTTGACACCTTCCTACTTGCACCCACCAGGCCACTCTTGGGGTCAGGCCCAGGCTCACCACCCAAGAGAAGCCCTGGAGGTGCCACCCATGGAAGGAAAAGGCCCCGCCGCAGGTCCTGAGCGCCCTCCCACGGCGCAGCCCGCGACCACTGCCAGTACTTAGGACCTCTCTTCAAGGGTGACCCGAGAAACTCCCCTAGAGAAAAACCTAGGAGTAAGTGGGACAGGAAGTAAAGTAGGGCAGGCCACCGGCCGGGCCGGTGCGCCAAGAGAAGCTGCCACCTGCCGGAGCGGGAGCCGCTGAGGTCCTCCCGAGACCCCCTCCGGCGCGCAGCTCGCCCAGTAGGTGCAGCCTCACCTGCTTTCCGTCTGATCCTCCGCCCGCGGCTTCCTCCTGGCCGAGGTTGCCGAGGTCCCGGGCCCGCCGCTCTCTACGCGGTGATGCTGCGGGAGAATCGCGCTCTGGGGAAGAGTCTGAGGGCCGGCCCCACACCACGCCCCGCAGCGCCCCGGGGAGCTACGTTCAGTGCCCCCGCCCTGCGCCACCCCTGTTGGCCCCTGTTGCGGTCAGGCGGGGCGGGGAATTACCGTGAACACAGACAGCCCCAGTTTGGCGGCTTCCTTGTCCTCTCGGGACATCGCCACGCGGCCCACGGAGCCACTGCAGGAACACGGCGATGAAGACAGTCCGTCAAGGGCCCGCCTCACCCGAGCAATTCTGCCCTCCCCTGGAAACCTGCTCGCACCTGGCGCTCCCCAGCCCCAGCAGCCGGTCCACGCCCTTCTCCTCGGGGTCGCCTCCTTCCCGCTTGCAGACCTCCGCGAAATCCTGCAGGTGCGGGAGCACAGGCAGCGTTCCGGACGGCCCCACACCCACGGCCCTCCACGTGCCCCCCACTCCAGGGAGTTACCTCCTTGCTCAGGCCCGTGGGCTGCTTCTTCACGTTCTTGTAGCCACTGCGAGAGGACCAGAGCAGGCGTCAGGACGGACAGACCTCCTCCCACCACGGGTCCTCACCACTCCAGCCTTCATCCTGAGGGTCCCACCCGCGCAAGTCCCCGCAGCCCCGCCCCCGCCCAGCCCGACCCCCAGCCCCCGCCCCTGGCCCCACCCTGCCCCGGCAGCGAAGTCCCAAGCACCGACCGCTGATGTCCGCGGACACTCACAGGGCGGCCAGCAGCGCCTCCCGCTCCGCCTCCCGCACTGCTGCCAGTTCCTCCTCGCGGCTCGGGCCCGCGCACGGCGCCCGGCCCTTGGCGTACCAGGTGAGGTCGCGGCCCTTCTGCCAGCGGCCTACGGGCGCCATCAGCGAGTTGCCTGCGGACGTAGGCGCCGTGAGCCCAGCGCCCCCCGGGAGGCCGCCCGCCGCGCCCACCGCGCCCACCGCGCCCACGGACCCAGGTAGTTCTCCCGCTGCTTGTCAGTCTTCACGTCCTCCCAGTTGAACTGGTCCTGCCCGCCGCGCACGCCTCCGCGACTGGAACCGAACATGGCGCCCGGGAGGCAGTTGCCTGGGGCCTGCGGCCTGCGACCCGCAACCCCGGACCCTCTGTACCCACTACCGTAGGACCCAGGCCCGACCCCGCCTTCGCGTCGCGCGCCGTGACGTCACCCGGCGCCCACCCGGCTTCGCCCCGCGCGCCTGCGCAGCGCACCGCCCCGGCTCTGTGCTCCCGCGCGTCACCTTCAAGCAGGCTTTGGGCGCCTGCGCACTGCGCCTATCCTGCCCAGCGCGGGAACGCCTCTGAACTGTACGTTTAAAAATGGTTAAAACCGGCCTGGGCGCTGTGGCTCCCGCAGCACTTTGGTAGGCCCAGGCAGGCGGATCGCTTGAGGTCGGGAATTCCAGACTAGCCTAGCCAACATGGTGAAACCCCGTCTCTACTAAAATACAAAAATTAGCCGGGTGTGGTGGTGCACACTTGTAATCCCAGCTACCCAGGAGGCTGAGGCAGGAGAATTACTTGAACCGGGAGGCGGGGTTGCAGTGAGCCGAGATCGCGCCACTGCACTCCAGCCTGGGCGACAGAGCGAGACTCTGTCTCAAAAAAAAAAAAAAAAAAAAAAGTTAAAATGGGCCGGGCGCGCGCTTGCTTGCGCGCCTGTAGTCCCAACGCTTTGAGGCTGAGGCGGGAGGATCTCTTGAGCCCAGGAGATCGCGCCACTGCGCTCCAACCTGAGCGAGTGAACGAGACCCTGTCTCATAAAAAAAGAAAACACACAGGATGCGCCTAGCTAACACCGCCAATTGGTCACTGCCAGCCGCGATTCCATATGGGGAGCTTAACAAGGTAATGCCCTAATGATTTGTGGAATTTCTGAGTATTACCCAGTAAACTTCTGGATGAACCAGCAGCTACCCAGACACCCTCAGAGCACTGGTCCCATCCTTGCCGTGGTAAACTGAATGTGCACCCTAACTCCCACGTGAAATCCCCAACCCAAGGCGTTGGTGCTTCGGAGGTGACTAGGTCATGACGACAGAGCCTTCATAAAAGAGACCCGAGAGCTTTGTGCAGCTTTCCACTGTGCGAAGGCAGCGGGAAGTCTGTAGTCTGGAAGAGACCCCTTCCCAGAACCTCAGCATGATGGGCACCCTGATTTTGGAGGTTGTGGCATCCCCCTGCTTCACCTTTCCACTTTCATTCCCAGTGGTGACCAAGAAGCAGAGTCCCTTAGCCGCTCTGTGACCTCGCCAACGGTATAATTTCGTCTGCAGACTTGAACCTGAGCCATAGCCATGAACGTTCCCAGGCACAGATGACAGCATCTAGGTTGTTGCTCAAAACACAGAAAGAAACTGGACCCAGCCTGAGCCAGATTCCTTAAACCCTCATATAAACTCCATTCGACAACCCCCTCCCCATGGACATACCTAGAGAGAACATTCATTTCTCTCACCACCCGTTGCAAGAACTGCTGCAGCCCACTCTGTACAAAATCCCTGCTAATAAATGCTCTCGGTGCATTACCCTGGCATGCTCAATCTTTCTGTAGAATCCTAACCAGCCCCATCTCAGCATGGTGTGGGGCACTCCCTTGTGGGAACTCTACTGCCACCACTTTTGGGGCAATTCCAGCCACAGGTTGAACTGGATGAAACACAGGTCTAGTGTCCAGAACTGTGGGAAATTTCTGTTTCTTAGTGACCCAGTCCATGGGTCAGGCTGTTAGAGCAGCCTGGCAAACAGCCCATCTGGCTTATCTATCTACTTAGCAAGTACCGGCTGCCATCTCTCTCATGAGGTGCTGTGTGAGCTTGCATCATGGAGCAGGTGCATGGCAAGGGCAGAGCAGCAGGCCACAGCCTGGCACACAGAAGGTGACTGGCCCACTCCTGGGAAGGCTTCCTTGGGTGTAGGGCATCAACTCCTGGGTGCAATTGCGGCTTGCCAGGCCAGGGTGGACTTCGGCCATGTGGGCAGGGCCCGGCTGTGGAGTGTGAACACTGACTGGATATCAGGTGTGGTGGAGAGGGGATAGCAGGGCCAGGTGGACGTTGGGGAAGAGTCCAGGACAGCTCTGAGGCTCTGGTCTGGGCAACTGTGAGGATGAAGCAGCCACCTGTCAACAAGAGGACCAGGTTTCTGGGGAAGACCTGGTTAGTTTTGGGCCCATTAGCCTGACAAGCCATAGGCCACAGGAGGAGGGGTCACCGCAGTGGAGGTTGCATGGCCTGTGCCTGCTGGGTGGAGTCCCAGCTGGGGGCACTGATCACAGTGGTGTCCTCTGTGACAGCAGCAAAGCTGGACCCAGGAGGGTGGAGGTGAGGGAGTAAGTAGAGGGGCAGTGGAGTTCCCAGGGGAACCCACTATAGAGGGAGGAGGCTGGGTACACTGGAGGAGGGGGCCAAGTGACTGCACAGTGTGGCCGGGCAGCTGGCTCTATATGCCACAGGGATTGAGCCACAACTTCAGAGACGGGGGCTCCAGGGAGGCTGCTCAGGAAGTAACCCTGCAAGGCAGAGTCCCAGGCGGCCACACAGCCCATCCATGTGAGGTCAGGCACTGCTGGGTCACAGGGACAGGGGACATCCCTTGCAGGCTCTTCTCAGCAGAGCTGAAGGCCGGCAGGATGAGCAGAGGGCCAGGAACAAACTTAAGGGACAAGGGAAGGGCCTGTGAGGTGCGGACACTGCCCAGGCTCCTCAGTTACAAGCACTGTCATCACAGGGGCACGACAGCACACTCTGACCTGCCTGGCAATCCCAGAACACCACTGCAAGAAGTGTTTGTTGGGCACTCCAGGTGTCAGTGAGACAGCCTGCCAGCTGGGACCCAGTAACACCCCAGGACAGGGACAGGAAGCAGTCCGGGCCCTGAGCTGTCCAAAACCTGGGCTGATGTGTGTGTGAAAGTACCTGCACATCAGCTGGAGCTGGTCCTAAGTGAAATCAGCCTCTGGACAGATGGAGCAGGGTCTGTGGATCTCCCTGGGTTGTGCTTTTCAGACCCCATTAGCAGTCAAGGACAACCAGGGCTGGCTGCTCCTCTGGGGACCCTCCCAGGGCAGGACCTTCCCTGGGGCAGCCTGGGAATGCAGGGCCAGGGCAGGGAGCTGCAGGCTGTGGTCCAGATGGTCCTAGGGCTGCCCCACCAAGGTTGATGCCTGAGTCCCAGAACACCCAGGCCCTCCTAGGAACCAACCTGAGGGCCACTGTGCTGTCAGGAGGGCAGTCGCCTTGGTGCCTCTGAGGCTGGGAAGGCACAGCTTAGAGCTTGGAGGTATTGGGTACTGCCTACACAGTTGTTCGTGGGCACCACAGCCCCAGAGCAGTGTCCAAAGCCCACAGGTTTGATCTAAACCAACCCTCACCCTGCTAGTCCACTAAGCCCTCTCTGTGCTTGAGCTCGTGCCTTTCAGGGGACGAGCTGCCAGTCTGGGGCTCACACCAAGTGTGGGGACAGACACAGACTCCAGGTGGCAGCTTCGAGAATATGTGATTTAAGAACAGCCCTCCCATCTTATCAACGTCCCGGGGTGGCTGGAGCCACGGTCACTTCTTGGTCCTGTTCCAGAACTGTTGGTAGTGCTCCACATGAAAGTCATCACTGAGCTCTTGCTTGTACTCCTTCCTCGGCTGGAGCTGAGCCTCACGCTTCCGCAGCCTGACCCGGCGTTCCTCAGGAGACAAGGTGTCCAGATCTATGGGCATCTGCAGGGGACAGACCAAGTTTTGTCCATGTGGATCAAGGGACCTTGAGAACTACTGAGGGGACAGCCCAGGGCCTTCCTGTCAACTTGTGTTTTCCATCCTATACTAGCTTAATTTTCAAACATTCTTATTGGTCTCTCCCTTCAAAGCTTTCAATCTTCAAAATAAATTGTTCTGTGTTTTCCCCAGATTTGATGTTTTTAAAAACACACAAGGCCAGGCATGGTGGCTCACTCATGCCTGTAATCCCAGTGCTTTGGGAGGCTGAGGTGAGAGGATCACTTGAGCCCAAGAGTTCAAGACTAGCCTGGGCAACAGAGAAACCCCATCTGTACAAAAAATATTTCAAAAAGTTAGCGAGGCATGGTGGTGTGCACCTGCAGTCCCAGCTACTCGGGAGGCTGAGGTGGGAGGACTGCATGAGTCCAGGGGGTCAGGGCTGCAGTGAGCTGAGATCATGCCTCTGCACTCCAGCCTGGTTGACAGAGCAAGACCCTGTCTCAAAAAATAAATTTTAAAAATAAAAACACACTACTGGTTAGTCCTATCTAATTTTGGCGCTTAAGAGTCAGTTTTGGATCTGAGCCTTCCTCCAATCCTCCAACAACCACCTGCTCCCCTGACTCCTGTCATGTGGTACAGTGACCACAGCCACATGTCCATCCTAAGGCAACTGGCCACCAGCACCGCCACCACAGCCTGAACCCCAGCCCAGCACCTGGAAGCACCTGGAGAGGGAAGCTTACCGCCAGCATGCGCCGCGGCTCCCTGTAGCGGATGTGGATGGTGGAGCCATCCTGCTTCACCAGCAGTACAGGGTAGAGTCGTGCATAAGCTTGGCGGTTCACACGACTGAGTGAGGCCCTGCTGCTGTCGGCCTGCCAGGAGGATGTGTGCAGGTGGCGGAGTGCAGGTTCGGTGGCCTTCACGGTGCTCTGCCTCAGCAGGCTGCAGATAAACGTGTAAGCACTGGTCCAACATGACTGAGGCTGGCCGTGATGGGGCACTGCCAGGCAACAGGAGACACTACCAGAGCTGGTGACCCATGCCAGGAGCAGGATGAGCCTCAGGGCTTCCTGAGGAGCCGCAGGCTGTGGTCAGAGCCACTCTGGCCCCCTAGCCAGGAAGAGCCTGCCAGGCTGAGCAAGGGCACAAAGCTTCCAGCACAGGGGACAGTGGATAATAGCTGGGACTAGGGAGGATTAGAATGGCCATTTCCTGCTGAATAGAGGGGTTCCCTGGGGTGGCCCGTGACAGTAATACCCAGGGGCCTAAAAGTCCATGCTTACCCAAGCAGGCTGCCCACGGCCGCCATTCCTCCTTAGAGTCCCGTGGCACGTGGTGGTGGTAAGTACAGGCCCTGGCGTGCAACCTGCTAGGCAGAGAATGAAGACATCTTTTTTAAAAGGTTCTTCCACCTAATGGGTTCACATCAAATCCCAGCCCAGGATGCTTCCAAGACACATGTAATCAACACGCCACTCACCAACCTCTCCCAGCAACCCTTGGACTTCTCAGAACCGCCTGTAGAGGTTTTTCCAAAAGCAGAAGTTGGTCACTACTCCCAAAAATTCTGACTCAGTCTGCGGCAGGGCACAGGCTGTTTGTTCTGGCCGTTACCGAGTCTGGGAAACCTCTCTAAATGGACTGCAGCCTCAAAAGTGGAGCTGAGGTCATGCCTTGCTTTCTAAGGTCATTGCTAGTTTTAATAAAAACCCAGTCAGGTGAGGATTGTCATGCTTGCTTAAAGGAGAATGGAGGCCCAGGGCTGCTTTGCTGTGACCTGGATTCCCATGGGAGTCTGTGCTGAGTTATCCGAGGTGAAAGCCCAGTTTCCAATACTCAGATTCCAGGAGACGAGGCTGCACGGCGGCCGAGCGCCCAGCTTCCTCTGCCGTACCCCTTTCACCAAGGAAGGGACCTGAAGACAGGTCCGGCTGCCTCTAAAATGGAAATCCTGCTCCGTGTCCTATGCCGACATCCCTCTCCCTCGGCCTCACGAGCACAGGAGCCTGGGGCTGGTCCAGGAGGGTCTTCAGGGGAAGCTCCCTCTTCCTTCCTGCTAGACCGCATGGGGACAAGGGCCCAGTACAGGTGCAGCCCCCAGTCCCCTTCCCTGCCTCCCTCCCTCCGGACTCCACAGGGAGAGTACAGCGCCCCCCGCCTCTGCTCCCCGCCCACACGAAGCGCCAACCTGCAGCCGCTACAGTCGCTGAGGAGGGGCCTGAGGACAGGCGGTCCTGACTCCCACTGCCCGGTGGAAACTAAGACCAGGGACGAGGCCACGCAGGAGGTCACAGCACACTCACTGCGTTGGGTGCTGCAGCGCTGCAGCCCACAACGTCACTGGCAGGCGCTGCGTCGCGCGGTAGGACGTATTCCATGGCGGGGCGAGGCAAGAGTGGGCGGTGAGACACCAAGATATACCCCCCCGTTGGGCGGGGCCGGCGCGGTGTGATGTAATCTCGTGGGCGGGGCGAAGCCTAGGTAGGCGAGGCCTGCGGGGCGCTGTTGCAGTACGAGGAGCGAGGCGGCGTCGGCCAGGTGACCTCCGTTCTTACGGGAGGACCAGGGCAGGCCAGCGGGGTCGAGGGGGACCCGCGGGTCTGAGGGAGGACCCCGGGTGGGGAGCTGAAGGAGGATCCGCAGGGCTGAGGGAGGATCCAGGAGAGTTGAGAGAGGTCCCGGAGGTCTGAGGGAGGACCCAGGGGTCCTGAGGGAGGACGCAAGGGAACTGAGGGAGGATCCGCGGGGCTGAAGGGGCACCAGCTGGGCTGAGGGAGGACCCAGGTGGGGCTGCGGGAGGATCCCGGTGGGGGCTGAGGGAGGGAGGATGCGCGGGGCTGAGTGGGCACCAGCTGGCCTGAGGGAGGATCCAGGGGGAGCTGCGGAAGGATCTGCGGGGCTGAGGAAGGATCTAGAAGGGGTGAGAGGTCCCAAGAGGCTGAGGGGGGATCCGCAGAACTGAGGGAGGTCCCAGGGGGCAGTGAGGGAGGATCCTTGGGCGCTGAGGTGGGAATCAAGGGAGGCTGAGGGAGGATCTCTGGGGATGAGGAAAGTTCAAGGTGGGGCTGAAGAGGGACGCAGCGGGCTGAGGGGGACCTGAGAGGCTGAAGGAGGATCTGAAAGGCTGATACAGCAGGGCTGAGGGGGGATCCGCGGGGTTGGCGGAGGCTGAGGAATGACCCTGTAGTTCAAAATGGAGTAATTTATGTCACAACGTAACCAAAATGGAGTGGGGAGGGCCCTAAGGAAGCAGCTGTCACGCCATTTCTGAAATGCCAGTGAGGCTCGCTATTACCTTGTAAGCAGAGTTTATTCCGGGCATTTCCACTGGCCTGCAGTATTCCAGATGAGATGTTTGGACCAGGGCAGGCAGATAGCATCGCTTATCTGCCCCCAGCGAACCAGGGTCACTTTGTGCAGTGAGTTCATGAGACCAGGGCCTTTGTTTTGTGAAAGTTACGAATAAGGAATGAAATCACGTTGTCAGGCCCAGACAGACAGGGCTGGGAAGGACAGGAGGCTCAGGCCTAGTGTGTGAGATAAGAACTATTTACAAGGACTTTCGAAAAACCTCGCAAGAAACCCTTTTGTGTCATTCGCGGGTCTCCTACTTTGATAAAATTTAGACGATCTTTGTGACTACAGTAATTCAGATAAGATGCTCGGAAGAAACATTTGCCCAGTAATGGCAGCTCCACCAATGAACTGAGGACAACTTTGAGCTTTGGCGTTGGGCCTCTGGAACCAATGAACTCTTTCTAAGCAGTTTCTGTCAACCTCTCCCATTTCGCTGATAAAAAGTTCCCTCTACCCTTCCCTCACCAGGAGTGCTGGTGGCTTGCTGTTGTTGACAAAAAGAGTCAAACTGTAAAATATTTCAAGAGATTTATTCTGAGCCAAATATGAGTAACCATGGCCTGTGACACAGCCCTCAGGACAGAGGTCCTGAGAACATGTTCCCAAGGTGGTTAGGGTGCAGCTTGGTTTTATACGTTTTAGGGAGGCATGAGGTATCAATCAAATACATTTAAAACCTATATTGGTTTGGTTCAGAAAGGCATGACAACTCAGTGCGGGGGTCGAGGATGGTGGCTTCCAGCTTATAGGTGGACTTAAAAATTTTGTTTGACAATTGGTTGAATTTACCTAAAGACCAGGCATTAACAGAAAGGAATGTCTGGGTTAAGATAAAAGACTGTGGGCCAGGTACAGTGGCTCACGTCTGTAATCCCAGCACCTTGGGAACCTGAGGCAGGCGGATCACGAGGTCAGGAGTTTGAGACCAGCCTGACCAACATGATGAAACCTCCTCTCCACTAAAAATACAAAAATTAGCTGGGCGTGGTGGTGTGTGCCTGTAATCCCAGTTACTCAGGGAGCTGAGGCAGGAGAATCACTTGAACCCGGGAGGCAGAGGTTGCAGTGAGCTGAGATTGCACCACTGCACTCCAGCCTAGGTGACAGAGTGAGACTCCATCTCAAAAAAAAAAAAAAAAAAAAAAAAATTATGTATATATATATATATATATATATATATATATATGATTGTGGAGACCAAAGTTCTTATTTGCAGAGGAAGCTTTCAGCTATTAAGCTTCAGAGAGAATAGGTTGTAAAATGTTTATCAGACTTAAAGTCTATGTTGATGTTAATGCCAGAGAGGTATAATGAGGCATGTCTGACCCCCACTTCTTATCATGGCCTGAACCGGTCTTTCAGGTTAAATTTTAAGAGTTCCAGGCCAGGCACGGTGGCTGACACCTGTAATCTCAACACTTTGGGAGGCAGAGGCGGGTGAATCACTTGAGGTCAGGAGTTCAAGACCAGCCTGGACAACATGGTGAAACCCAGTATCTACTAAAAAATATACAAAAATTAACCAGGCATGGTGATGCGCGCCTGTAATCCCAGCTACTTGGGAGGCTGATGCAGGAGAATCACTTGAACCTGGGAGGTAGAGGTTGCAGTGAGCAGAGATCGCACCACTGCACTCCAGCCTGGGTGACGGAGCAAGACTCCGTCAAAAAAAAAAAAAAAAAAGGAAAGAAAATTAAGAGTTCCCTGGCCAAGGAGGAAGTCTATTTAGATGGCTGGGGAGCCTTATAAGTTTTTTTTTATTTTTGGTTTACACTTGATACAATAAAAACTTCAGCTGAATTAAATTTAAAGTTTAATTGAGCAATGAACGATTCGCTAATCACGCAGCCCCCAGAATCACAGCAGATTCACAGAGACTCCAGCGCAGCCACGTGGTGGAAGATTTGTAGACAAACAAAGGGTAAATGATGTACAGAAATTGGAAGTGAAGTACAAAACGGCTGGATTGTTTTCAGGTTGTGTTTGCCTTATTTGAACACAGTTTGAACACTCAGCAGTATATGAATGGTTGAAGTGCAGCCTCTGGGATTGGCCAGGAGGCAGCTATTGTTACAGTTGCATACTCCTGTTAGGTTTTCAATCTCTCTACCTTAAGCTAGGTTGCAGTTCATCCGCAAGAACTCAAATATAGAAGTATGAAGTCCTTCTCAGGCCATATTTAGTTCGCTTCAACAACTCCCCTCTTTTCGTCATTTTCTCAATTTTGAGAGATTGACCAAAACTTTAGTAGTTGTCACTGTCACCATTGTAGATGTACTTATTTGCTCCTGAAACCCACTGGGAAACAGTAGAACAATGAGTTTTCCAAAGGTAGGAACAAAGACTGAGTAGAGGGTATGTCTTTATGCTGGAACATTCTGTTTACAGGAGAAAAAACCTGGTCTGTTCTAGGATTTATGTGTATCCTTAGTTTGATTATGTTACATGTAGCATGAGTGACTCCATTTTAGTTTGGTTTGGCCTGTTGGGACCTAGTGCATGAGCTTAGTCCAAAACAATGGCCTCCCATAATTGTGTTTTTTTAAAAAAATTCCCCCTTTTTGGTCAGGTTCTCACTTAGGTGAGAGTGTGACCAAAATTTGGGGCCTTAGCACCACTCTGTTACCATCATTTTGGGTTTCTGGTGTCAGCACATCATTCATAGGTTATGGTATCCTCATGGTCACATATTTCTTTCAGCTCTTTCATTCCAGTTGAAGAGAGACCATTTGAGGTTCTAGAGATGGCTGCATGCAAACATTTAAAACCTTAGAGAGAATACAGTGCACCAGGGAGACTCTTATTATGCCTATTGGGAGGATAATACCAAGAGTTTGGAGTGTGCTCTGTTACCCAGGGTCCGCATAAACCAAACCGCCTAAAATTAAATAGATTAAAGAATGAGTGAGATAAAGGGTCTACTTGCTTGACTAAATGATCTTTTCATTAATCCTCTACAACTGAATTTCTTTTTTTTTTTTTTTTTAGAGAGAGAGTCTCGCTCTGTCACCCAGGCTGGAGTGCAGTGGCACAATCTCGGCTCACTGCAAGCTCCGCCTCCTGGGTTCACGCCATTCTCCTGCCTCAGCCTCCAGAGTAGCTGGGACTACAGGCACCCGCCACCATGCCCGGCTAATTTTTTGTATTTTTAGTAGAGACGGGGTTTCACTGTGTTAGCCAGGATGGTCTCGATCTCCTGACCTCGTGATCCGCCCACCTCAGCCTCCCAAAGTGCTGGGATTACAGGCGTGAGCCACCGTGCCCGGCCTGAATTTTTATAATCTACATTTAATGTATTCCTCCATAGGCCACAAGTGCCAGCAGCTGCACAGGTACTTTTCTGTTTAGCTAATTCTATTATTTAGCATAACTTTCACAAGAGAATTTAAAGTCTGTTGTGTAATGATAGCCTTTACAGTAGAATCTGCTAGAGAGCCTATTATGAGGGATACATTTTTAATTATTGCCTATTTTATTCTAAACCAAGGAAAAAGGACCTAACAAATGATGTCCTTTTAGAAAAGTGAAGGCCCCCTGGCAATGTTCTCTAAAGAGATTCCGTTAAAACCCATGATGTGGGTTAAGAGGAGTTTTTACTGATTATGAGGAAATGTATGTACAATTAAAGTTTTTCACCTACATTGGGCCTTCATCTTGTCCTTATCAAAGTATAAGATTATTCATGTATAAGGCTGGCTGCAAAATCCTTCACAAATAAAAGTATACCATATAACTGAACATAATAGAACCCATTTTCTATTGTTCATAGAGGCATAAACAGGGAAAAAATATTCAAAGATAAGAGTCTTATGATAGAAGTCTTGATCCATGATCTTGGGAAAAGCTGTTCACGTCAAGGATGCCACCTTCTTCTGGGAAGAAACTTTCTGGGTTAGTTTTACCTTAAGGATTCTGAAAGGTGTACAGTTCCGCGAGTGTAGAGGGACCCCTCTCAGTTGTTTATGAACCCAAGGTTCAAGGTTCCAAAGTTTTGTTGCAGTATAGAAGGACAGTCTTTCTCTGATGTTCTCAGAGGATTCAGTCTTCAGGTTCTAGATTGTGAAGGGGTTGATTGTCCTCAGTGAATCATAAAAAGTTTTCTTTATCTGGTGAAAATATACTCTGGCATAGTAATTAGCTGCTATAACATAAAACATGCATTGAAAATGACAGTGCAATGAAATTCTTTTATACATGTTTAAATGACCCATTGGCTTCAGGTAGCCAAATGTACCTGAAGGTTTGATTACCTTCCCAGGAATATGGAACCAACCATTGGTTTTATTTTTTATTTTTATTTATTTATTTTTTTTGAGATGGAGTCTTGCTCTGTCGCCCAGGCTGGAGTGCAGGGGCCTGATTTCGGCTCACTGCAACCTCCGTCTCCTGGGTTCAAGCGATTCTCCTGCCTCAGCCTTCTGAGTAGCTGGTACTACAGGCACCCGCCACCACACCCAGCTAATTTTTACATTTTTAGTAGAGACAGGGTTTCACCATATTGGCCAGGCTGGTCTTGAACTCCTGACTTTGTGATCCTCACTTTGGCCTCCCAAAGTGCTGGGATTACAGGCGTGAGCCACTGTGCCTGGCTGCTTTTTTTTTTTTTTTAAACAAGAATCATCTGCTTATTTATTTTACAGAGTAATTATTTAAATTGAGTACATTTGGGCACAGTAGATATTGGACATGAAAAGTGTTTGTATCAGAATGAGCATCAGAAAAATAGCAACTCACCTTACACATAATAACTAGAAAATATTATTCTGTCTGATCATTTAAGTGTTACAGATCCTGAGAATGTTATACACTGAACAAATTAGGTACTACCTTAAAATTAAATCTTGCTTGGAAATAATCCTTTAAAAAATGATCTGAGGTACAGATCATCTATGTGTTAAACGTGAGTCTTTGACATTATACAAAGAGTTTAAACAAATATATCAATTACAGGTTAGTGACTCCTAAAATACCTACCAGTCAGGTTCAAGGACACACTGTTCCACAGTTTCCCATAAGCTGAGGTTTTCCATTGCAGCCTCCACTTGCTCTTTGTTGTTTATCTGTGTGCTGATGTCTTCTTCTGTTGAGTGGGTTCCTTCAGAAATGTAGATTTCCAACTTATGTTTAAATGGTAAACACCGCTGAAGTTTTATTCTTAAGCACAGCCCCATAAGAATTGCCAAATATCAATGAGGTACTCTGGTGTAAACTTGGTAATAACCAGATAGTCTTCTTCATTTATCTCCTTAACTTCCATGTAACTTTCCTTTACCAATTCCAGTTCTTCTAATGTATTGAGCTTTTCTAGGTCCCAGATAGTTTGAATCAAATCATAAACCTCTAGCGCTTTCTCTTCCATGATCCCAGGCTGCCCAGCAGCTCCTCACTCAAAAAGGCCCGAGAGCCACAGGACTCTGCTCAGTGTCCAGGAGAGCAGCCTCAGCTCTGCTGTCCCTGGCAACTGTGGAAGCACTGGTTTTAAACAGTTTTTGCAATTTACAAATTAACCACATCAGTATATTCAATTTGGATCATTTTATCTTTTCCATGATGAGTCATAAAATCCAGAACCTTTAATAACAAAAGCCTTAGAGTCTCAAGAGGGACAAGGTGGCCATCCTGGTTTTCCACGAGTCCATGCTTAACATTGGACTTATGTCCTCTTGAATACCAGTTTTTTTTCCAATTTAGGTACATAGCACTGATAACTAATGGGTTATCATAGGTAATTTGACTCAGACCTTGAAGTTCAAATTGTGTATCTAAACAATTTTAGTATTGGCTGGTTTAACATGAAAATCTGGCAAAGTATTTTCTTGGAATTTAAATAATTTTTTCTTTTTCTTTTTTGAGACAGAGTCTCACTCTGTTGTCCAGGCTGGAGTGCAGTGGCATGATCTTGGCGCACTGCAGCCTCCACCTCCTGGGTTCAAGTGATCCTCCTGCCTCAGCCTCCCAAGTAGTTGAGATTACAGACTTGCACTGCATACCCAGCTAATTTTTGTATTTTTAGTAGATACGGGGTTTTGCCATGTTGGCCAGGCTGGTCTCGAACTCCTGACCCTGTCAGGTGATCTGCCCACGTTGGCTTCCCAAAGTGCTGGATAACAAGTGTGAGTCACTGTGCCTGGCCTGTATTTAG